CAGAAATGAAACACTTGTCTCGTTTTTATTGGACAAGTGTATTTTTTTTGTTTCTAAAAAAAATAAAAAAAAAATATTAAAATTCGTATTTTTTCATTCTCTACAAATAGGGACCGCACTTGATATATTTTAGAATACAATTGTAATTTTTAAATAAATTAAAATAAAATAAATATTTAGGTTGAGATTTGTATAGACCACACTTAATATATTTTAGAATACAATTGTAATTTTTAAATAAATTAAAATAAAATAAATATTTAGGTCGATTTGGGTTGGGATAAAGATAATTTAGGTTGGAAGACTGAGTTGTGTAGGTAGAGGAGAGAGAAATAATTTTTAATTGTTAGGTTGAGTTGGGTTAGGTTGGGGATAAAGATAGTCTAAGTGCATGGTTAGATGTAACTTTTTATCAATAAAATCCAATTACAATTTAAATCTATTAAAATAAAAAACCAATATCATTATTCTCAATATTATCAATATAATTAAGTAACATCAAACAATCATTCTTACACATCACATCAATTTTAATGCACTATTCATCAATTCACATAATTTTAACCACCCATCACTTATAATCACCTCTCGACTACTTTTACATTAAATCAACTTTAATTATTTTATTTTAAATAATACTTTAATACAAACTCAAAATCTTACTCAAACCTAACACAACCTAACTTTTTAAAAATTAACTCTAGTTACCAACAAATTCAATTAAAAAAAAAATAAGAAAAATGACATCCACTCAAGCCCTCTGGCGGCGATTGGATATAGACTAAACTGGTTATAATCCAACTTAGTGAGTTAAAGTGAGTTATAATACAATATATTTAAAATTGGAGAACATTTAAAATACAATAATAAAGTTGATATGATGAAAAAAAAAAAGATATTATAGAAAGTAAAAGGTAGTTAAAATTATGTGAGGACATCTTTAACAACAAAACTCCTTATATTTCATTTTTCATTTTTTAATGCGCCACATCACCCAAAACGTTAATCTTACTCTTACATCACAAACTTCCAATGACAATAAATCTCACATATTTATTTTATATAAGTTCCACATGTTTCCCACTTACTTTATTTTAAATTATTGCTTTCTTTCCCACTATTGTTCCTTATTTTTATATTTATTTAGTGTCCACTTGGAGGTTTTTGTGAAGTCCGAAAGCTCAAACCTAGTTTAAAAACATAAACCTCAATTCCAAAACCGCTTACTAAAGATGCCATGAGCGAATGAATGGTGAAATAAAATTAATGTGATTGTGCTATAATGATTAATCGGTATTATTTAATTATCTCGATACTAAGCAAGTAGCAAATCCCAAATTCTGAGAGAGCTAGCAAGTTGCAAAGTCCATGATTCAAATGCTGCAAAGATGACTACCAACCATATCACTAGTTCTATGGATCTACTAATGCTATCTTCGGTATTCATAATATCATTTTTCTGTCCTTTTCAAACAATCAAGCCCAACAAAAACGTTGATGGTTCAGAGAAGTTTATAATGGTGAAGGAAAATGTGCAAACAAAATTATAGAGGTAGACAAAATTGTTTGTCACATATGACTCACAAACAAGAAACATAACTTTCTTTCCTCTCATTAAAAAAAACATTTTTTTTTTTTTTTTT